GCGGACCCATTATGTAATTGCTGTCTATGACTAGAATTTAAAGCTTAAACAATTCTCCAGGAGCTTTGGCTACTGTGCCTGATGTTTGATTGGATAAAAGTAGAGTGAGTACCCACTGTAAGCCAGGCACTTCTGAAAGGAGGTCATGACACTGTCCTCAAGGGGTTTGCAGTCTAACTAGGGAGATCAAACTTATAGACATAAAACTATTAGAGTAGAGGTCAAGGAAATATAGAAGGGAATAAAGTGCCATAATGTTTCTTATACGTCTCAGGATTAGAAGGGACCTGTGAGGTCATCTAGTCCAACCTGTACCTAAACCCAAATCCCCTTTCTAATCCCGGGGACAAGTAGTTATTTAGTCTTACTTAAGGACCTCAGGTAGCAGGGATCCTCCTACCTCCTGAGGCAGCTCTATTCAGTATTAAGTTTTCCCTCTCAAATTGAGTCAAAATCTGCCTCCCAGCAACATCTGCCCTTTGAGCTAGAGGGGGAAAAATCTTCCTTTTCCATGTGACAGCCCTTGAAATACTGGAAGTCACCTCTAATTCTACTACTCTTCCACAGGTTTTCTCTTTTCCAGGTTAAACATCCGCATTCCTTCAATCAAACCTTGTGTGTCTTGATCTCTAGTCTGTTTGTTATCCTCCCCTTCCTCTGGAAATGCTCTAGTTTTTCAGCATTGTTCCTGAAATGTGCCCCACACAGAACATGATACTCCAGATGTAGTTTGCTCATGCCAGAATATAGCACAACTATCACATAATCCATTCTGAATGGTATATTTTTCTTAATGAAGCCTATGGAATGCTTTGGTCCTTTCTCATTCTATTGATTCATATTGTCCTTGTGGTCCTCTAATATTCCCTAGATCTTTATCACAGGATTTGTTGTCTGTCCATTCATCTTCCATATTGGACTTTACTTTTTTCGAACCCCAGTGTAAGATTTTTATACTGATCCTTATTACATTTCATCTTAATAACTTCTTCCTGTTGTTTTAACCTGCTGAGATGTCTTCTAGCCAGTGCCTGAGTTCTCCCTTCCCACTTCATTGTCATCTGTAGATTTGATAAACATGTCACCTATGCTTTTATCTATGTTACTCTTAAAACACTGAATGGCCTTTCAAAGCTACAGGTGGAACTTCTTATCTCCTTAAAAAGAAAAACAAGGTGGACATAATGAAGACCTACAATAACATTCACATTTCTCTGTTCTCCTATGTATATGGAAATACCCACTTTGGGGGGGGGCGAGCTGTTAAGTTCAATATAAAAATAAAAATTTTAAAATGTTGAAGGTCATAGGGCATCTAGGGATGTTCCTCCACGTTGGCATCAATTCAATAATGGGTACTCTTCAGATTTACTCATTCAGCCAGTTCTAAATCTTTATAACTATACTATTATCTAGCCCCTATTGCTCCATCTCCCCACACTGAAATCAATGTATATTCTGACAATGAAATTTCCTTTCATCTATCAGTTGGAGTAATCCTACTAAAAGACAAAAGGAAGTTAATCTTATATCACAATTTTTAGTGAAATAATGCTATGTTCATCACTTCCCTTTCTCAATGCTCACAAAAAATTATCCCTTTAAAAATATGCTCTAATATTTTGGCAGAAATCAAACTCAGTACCCCAAGCTTATAGTCTGGTCGGAGCTTCACTCTCTTTTGTTTTTTTCAAAAGTCCAAATCTCCTGGCCTGTGTTATCTTTCCCATCGACCACATTTTTTTTTCTGAGACCTCTGACAGTAGCTCAGCAATCACATTTGCTAATTCTTTCAGTGCCCTGGGATGCAGGCCATCTAGGCCCCTAGTGACTTGAACTAATGGAGGATAAATAGGTCCTCTTTTACAGTCTCTTGGATTTCAATTCCCCCTTTAAATCATTATCATCTTGGATTTCAATTCCCCTTTAACCTTTTTATGCTGTAGCCCTCTCAGTTCTTAGATCATTCTCTTTGGTAGAAAGTACAGAAGTGGGCAGTCTAGGAGCATCCCAGGGGCTAGGCAAAAGCAGCCTGAAACACATACTCTTCAGGTAGTCCACGTATAAATGTTTGTTCTTCTAAAGAGGGCTGCCTCTGCTGTTTAATAGGAGGGAAATGATGGAATTTCAGACAAAGTCACATTGATACGTGATTGCTTAGTTGCATGTGTTCCAATCTGGCACATCCCATGTAGAACCTCTGGCTCTGACAACTGGCATTTTTCTAGAATAGATAGGGATCAAGACACGTTTTCCCCTACTCTATATTTTTGCCTACTTGTTAGGAGTTGCCATCTCTCCAAAAGTGGAGGGCTCTGCAGGAATATATACAGGAGACTAGGGCCAGGAGGAAGATCCTGGGATGTGGTGTTAAAAAAAAAACAGCTTGAAGTGGGAGATAGCTGTGAGTGGGACAATATTAAAGTTTTACTTTTGGTGATGGGAATTTTACTCCTTCACTTCTGCTGAAATGGCAGCTGCCCCTGAGCATCTTTAACATTACTTTGGGACTTCTCTGACTGGCTTCTCCCTCAGGCCTCAGGAAGCTCATTATTGGAACAACCTCATCATCCTGTAAGATCTCAAAAATCTTGGTCCTCTCTCTCCTCACCACCCTCTGCCTCTCTGATTGGAGGGTGAGGCCACGAACTCCATACTTCCATTTAAGGAGGGAATTTAACTCAGAACATCTTCTTATTTTTCCACCTGACTGTACTACTTTGGGACTTCTCCATCATGCCCCCATGTCAGGCTCCTGTCCTCTACTTTTTAGTTTCTTTTGTGTCTTGCCTTTCCTCATTCAATTTTAAGCTCTTTGAGGGCAGGGATTACCTTTCTTTTTTCATATTTGTATCCCCAGCATTTAGCATAGTGCTGGCACACAATAGGTGCTTAATAAATGTTTATCGACTTTTGTTTCCCCTCTGTAACTTCAGAAAATGGAGGGTTAGAGTGACTGGAGACTTTCTTTGCTTTTGATTCAAGCTCCAAGGAAGTATGGAATACAAAAATACCCTATTTTAATTCTTAATATTTTAAAAGGACAAATTTTCTGAAGCCATTTTTGTAGGAAAAAAATGGAAAAAAAGAACAGAATTTTCTTTTCATTTGTCCAGAAAGAGGCCAGTTGGTTTGTAAACCATCTGACATAAAGTTATGATTCATATTAAGAACAATTTCACACAAATCAGTCTTTATTGATTGCCCTGTGTTCATCACTAGAAGAGGAAAAAGAGGAGGACATAAGCAACATTCACACCTGGAATATTATATTTCCAGTTGGAGAAACTTGATCTGATGGACGGTTGGGAGTGATCATGAGTTTTCAAATAAGGGAGTGATACGGTTTTTAAGATTACTTTGGCAATAATGTGCAGGACGGATTGGCAGCAGGAAAACCTGTTAGGAAATTATTACAGAAATACAGGCATAAATTGATGAGGGCCTGACAAGGGAAATAGAAAGAAAAAGGATGAATTCAGGAGACATAAAGAGAGAACCAATGTGACATGATGTATAAGAAGACAGAGAAAACTCTTACTGAGGTTGAAAGACTGTGGAATTAGGAAGATGGTGACATTGGAAGAAATTAAAAAGTTGCAGTGGGTATCTGGTTTTGAGATGGGAGAGTGGTGGGGAGAATTATTTGGGACCTATTGAATTCATCCAAGTGTAGATGCTCTGTACTCAGCTGTGTTGACAAGTCTGGACTGGAGATAGAGATCTTTTTTTTCCTTTTTAAAAAAAAATTATTTTGAGTTCCAAATTCTCTCCCTCTCTCCTGACCCTCCCCCACTCATTGGGAAGGCAAGTAATGCTATAGACCCATTATATATATGAAGTCATTCAAAATGCTTTTCCACATTAGCAGTATTGTAAAAGCAAAAAAAAAAAAAGCAAGAAAAATAAAGAAAGTTAAAAAAATCTGCTTCAATCTACACTCAGAGTTAATTAGTTCTCTCTTTGGAGGTGGATAGTATTTTTCATCATGGGTCCTTTGGGATTGTTAAGGATTATTATATTGATCAGAATTGCTAACGTCTTTCACAGCTGATCATCCTTGCAATATTGCTGTTACTGTGTACAATGCTTTCCTCGTTCTGCTTACTTTACTTTGCATCAGTTCATGTAAGTCTTTCCAAGTTTTTTCTGAAACCACCCCCCTTTGTCATTTCTTATAGCACAATAGTATTCCATCATATTCATGTACTACAACTTGTTCAGCCATTCCTTGATTGATGGGCATCCTCTCACTTTCTAATTCTTTGCCATCACAAAAAGAGTTGGTATAAATATGGATCCTTTTCCTTTTTCTTTGATTTCTTTGACATACAGACCTAGTAGTGCCATTGCTGGGTCAAAGGGTATGCACAGTGTTACAACCTTTTGGGCATAATTCCAAATTGTTCTCTAGAATGTTTGGGCAAGTTTGCAACTCCAACAACAGTGCATTAGTGTCTCTATTTTTCCACATCTCCTCCAACATTTGTCATTTTCTTTTTCTGTCATCTTAGTCAATCTGATGAGTGCAAGGTGGTACCTCAGAGTTGTTTTAATTTGCATTTTTCTAACTATTAGTGATTTAGAGCATTTTTATATGACTTGATAACTTTGATTTCTTCCCGTGAAAACTGCCTGTTCATACCCTTTTACCATCTATCAATTGGAGAATGAAAGTTGGCTCAGTTCCCTACGTATTTGAGAAATGAAACATTTATCAGAGAAAGTTGCTGTAAATTTTTTTTTCATTTTTCTTTGAAGCTTTGTTTTCAAGTCTTCTTCTGAGTTTGTGTCTTTAGCTTCCACATCACCACAGCAACTTTTCATAGTCAGGTTCTTTTTTTGTTTCTCTGTTTGCTCATTTTTACAGCCAATTTTTTTTACTTTGGACTTTATGTTAGAGTTGGGCCCTACTCACCTCTGGGAGTGGGAGTTGTGGTGGGGAGAGAAAATAACTGACCTGAGCTTCTGTCTTTTATGTCTTTCTGCTGTTTTTGCAGCTAGTTTTAGAGACCTGTAAGTTTTCAGTGCTTCCAAGGTGGTGTGATCCGGGGAAAGGTGTGGCCACTGCTCTTCTGATCTGCTTTCTGGTCCTTACCCAGGTAGGGCTCCTGGTCCCCTGTGACTGCAAGCACTCCTCTCCTCCCTAAAACTGCAACCCAGAACTAATTAAGTGGCAGTGGAGTTGTCAAATGGTACCTGGTCCTATGCCCTGTGTCCCACAGGGGTCCCTTGTAATCTCTTTCTGACCAGGTGTTCAATCTCCTTACCATTTCTGGGCACTGAGTGCTCCGGTTATTGCTGCCCTGCCACCTCCAATGCCCAAGCTGGTGTTATTTCTGCTGCACTGTGCTCCTGGACAGCCCCCACTCCAGTGCTGTAGACTTCTCTTCTAAGCAGCCTTAGGCTGGAAAAAATGGCTCCCTCTGCCTTTTTGTTGGTTATGCCACTGAGAATTTGATTTGACATGCTTTTTAAAAGTTGTTTAGAGGGAAATGTTGAGAGGGCTCAACAAAAATGTTCCATTTACTCTACCATCTTGGCTCTGCCCCTCTGTAGATAGAGATCTTGAAGTAATCAGCCTAGTGATTTGAGAGTGGGTAACATCTCCAAAGGACTGAATATAGAATTAAAAGAATATAAGGTAAGGGCATGAGAGGTAGGAAGAACAAGGAGAGCCAATTAAAAGAAATAGAGAAGTGGTTGGAAAAGAAGGAAAATCAGAAGAACATGGTGTTATAGAAGCCAGGCAAGAAAGAACATTTGAAGGAGGGAGTAGGAGAGTTTAAAGAAGGAGATATTTATCATTGGAATTCAGATGCCACCAAAAAAAAATCATGGAAGATAAGAATTGGAAAGAGGCCATTGTTTTAGGCACCATTAGTGAATTACATTTGGGCCACCATAGAGAGTATTCACAGAATCACGCCATTTCAGAGGTGAAAAGGACATCCATCAGTGGTCATGTAGGCCAATCCATCACTGAAAAAGAATCCTGGTTTTCTATCTCTAAGAAGTGGTCATCTAGCCTTTGCTTGAAGATTTCCTGAGGCAAATCCACTACCTCCTCAAGTAGTCTATTTCACTTTTGGATAGGTCTAATTGTTAGAAAGCTTTTTTTTCTGACATCAAGCTTAAATTTGCCTTCACTCCATTGCTCCTAGTTCTGCAAATCAAATCTTTTTTCCATGTGACAGCCCTTCAAATACTTGAAGACAAGTTCTCATGTCCTCCCTGAGACATCTCTTCTCCAGGCTAACATGCCCAGTTCCTTATATGACATAGGACTCAAGACCTTTTCTCATCCTGGTTGCCCTTCTCTGGGCATTCTCCATCTCATCAGTGTCCTTAAACTTTGGTGCCCAGAACTGAACACAATAATACAGATGAAGCCTGACCATGGCAGAAGGCAAAGGGAATATCATTTCCCTCTCTCTGGAACTTATGCCCCTTTTATTGCAGTATCATTCCTCCATCAATTAGAGATTGGACTAGATGACCTCGTGAGTTCTCTTCCAACTGTGAGATTTTGTGATTAAAGTTCATTTGTGGTGATGGAGGCAAAAGCCAGATTACTGGGGACCAAATAAATAGTGGATGAGGCAATTGAAAGCAATGACTTGGGGCACTTTGTGCTTAGCTTTTCCAATTGAAGTCGACCCTCTGTACTTGAGATCATTAAGTCCCTGTCACCTGTAACTGTGTTTCATGGCGCCTCTGACTCACCTTTCCTTTTGCTCTTTTCCTCAGAATGTGGTACCACAGGCTATCCCAGATATACTGCAGCATTCAGCACCAGTTGAAGGGAGGAGTCAGACACTCGGCCCTTCAGTTTCCCTGCTTCCAAAACAGACTTCTAGCAGCTCACCGATGGCAGCACACAGCCCTGGGGCCTCTGAACTGTGTCTGGCAGCAGCATGAGGATCATTTGGGTAGGGGCTGGCTGACAGCAGAATTTGAGTGCAGAGATATATACTGAGGAAGGGGACTTTGATGCCATCTGCAGATGCTTGCTGAGATGTCTAGAGAATCTCTAGCAATTGAACCCTCCCTCCCCACACCAATTAGCGATGAGGTCAGCAAAGGTAGTGTCCTAGAAGGTGCCTGACTTATGTCAACCAATGACTAACTTACAATAACAGTTAATGACAATGACAACTGTGTGAATTCAATAGCGATGAACATTTCTTTCCCAGAAGAACTGCCCATCAGTGCCTCTATCCTCCACTCAGTGGGTGGTTCTGTGCCAGGCTCCAGGAACACAATGATCAAAATGACAGGAGCCCTACCTGGAGATGTCTTTAGGGTGCTTACCTGGGAGGATTGGAGAAGACTCAAAAAAGCATACTAGAAGCTAGTCATCAAGGGGAATGCAAAAGAGAAATCCAATCAGTGTTCCTGGCCAGCACTGAGAACAGGGAAAGTCCTGACAGTGATGTGGGGGGAGGGAATTGGAGGGGGACCTTGAAGAAAGAGAAGAATTTTGAGAGGTGGATGGTATGGGGGTGTATAGCCCATGTAAATGCATGGAGATCAGAGATAGTCAATGAGTTTGGTCAACAGCTAACAAATAGTCCATTTTGACTAGAACATATAACTTGTGAAGGAGTATAGTAAGGCCTTAGTCTTGAAAAGAATGTAGGAACCAAGATGCTGATGGTCTTTATTGCCAGGTGAGAGCATGGAGGTGATGTGGCCAGATCTATGCTTTATGAGGGTGGATTGGAGAGGGGAAACAGTGAAAGCAAGACCATTCATTCATCCATTCTGCAAGCATTTATGAATCACCTACTAAATATTATGCACTATGCTGGGCATTGAGGAGTTTTTTTCAGTTGTGTCCAACTTTTTTGACCCGATTTAGGATTTTCTTTGCAAAGATACTGGAATGGTTTATTACTTATTTGCTTTTCCAGCTCATTTTGCAGATGAGGAACTGAGGCAAACAAGGTTAAGTGAATTGCCCAGGGTCACACAGCTAGTAAGTATCTGAGGCTGGATTTGAACTCAGGAAGAGGGGTCTTCCTAACTCTAGGCCTAAAACTCTATCCATTGCAGCTCCACCTAGCTGCCTGGGCATCAGGGACACAAAAGGTAAAAACAAAACAGTCTCTGTCCTCAAAGAGCTTACATTCTACTTATGGGATGGGGAGGAGCAACATGAATATAAATGAATTTAAGGGATATTTTGGTGCAATGGAGAGGCACTGGATTTGGAGTAAGAACTCTGAGTATGAATCCCAGCTCCATAATGTCCTATCTGCGTGGTCTTGGGTAAGTTCTTTCTCCTCTCTGGATCTCAGTTTCCATGGTGATGAATGAGGTGATTTGACCCCATGCCATCTATAACACTTTAGATCCAATAATAAGTAAATACAAAATGTATGCAAAGTGGTCCCAAACTTGTGGCACAAAAGTTGGCCTTATTTAGAAGGTGGCTCTGGAGCTGATCCTTGAAGGAAGCTTGAGATTGTACAAAGTGAAGGTGAGGAGGGAGGGCCATTCCATGAATGGAAAGAAGCTTCTGCAAATATAGGAGATGAAATATTGTGTATGGGGAGCAGCGATTAGGGGTTTGGTTGGAACATAAAGGTCACAAAAACAAATAATGTGCAGTAAGCCTGAAAAGAAAGGATAGAAGTAAACAAGGAAGGGCTGCAAATGCCAGCTGGAGGAGTTTAGATTTTATCCTCTAGATTCTGGAGCATGACAGTGTCACATGAGTAGGCTGTGTTTTAGAAATCCATTTAGCAGCTATGTCATCAGTTAAGAGGCTATTACATTGGTCTGGGTGGATGAGAGACTAAACTAGGTTAGAGGGGGGACAGAGGCAAGATGACAGGGTAAGAGGAAGTGGTTGAACCTAGCTTGCCTCTGTCCTTTCTCCACAACAATCTAAAACCTGCCACAATCAAAATTTTGATGGAGAAAGCCAAGAAAAAGTCACAGTGAGTCATTTTTCCTGCCCAGGGCAGCTTCAGGAGATAGACAGAGGTCTGTGGAAATTCTGTGTATGGGGAGCAGCAATTAGAGACACTAGGAACAGGGTCTGGCCAGGAATGTGTGTGGCAGTGGCAAGGAGCATTCCAGTACCCAGAGACAGAAAGAGAGCCAAGGCAGGGTATCAGGGCAGAAAGAGATCCCAGGGGATGATGATTAATAATAATAATGGAAAATAGCTAACATTTATACAACACCTACTATGTGCCAGATACTATGCTAAGCACTTTACAAATAATATCTCATTCGACCTTCCCAATAATCCTGGGAGGTAGGTGCTTTTATTATCCCCATTTTGCAGATGAGGAAACTGAGGCAGTAAGAGATAAATTGACATGCCAGGGTTACACAGCTACTAAGTGTCTGAGGCCAGATTTGAACTTACATCTTCCTGACTCCAGGCCCTGTGCTCTATCCACTGGAACACCTATCTGCCCTCTGTGCCACTCAGCTGCTCATGGTATCCCTGAACTAGTGCTGAGTTCAGGAACAGGTGCCATCTGGCAACTCTGTTACCCATTACCCAGTTCTAGATACTGGAATGAAGAGGGGCAGTATCAAGAATGGATCTTAGCTGTGTAATGAACAAAAAACAAGTTCTGAAAATGTAGCCGTGTGGCTCTGATTCCTAGACCAGAATGATGATTCAGTTCTAGCCTTTTTCCCAGTACCATAAACCTGCAGGGAGCCAGAAGTTCAGTCATTCTGAACCTGCAGAGCCTCCCAGCAGGCCATTAGTGACTGAGTCCAGCAATTGTCTGCTGCAATTCCCAACCTGGGACAAGTCAATAGACTCAGACCTGGGTCAAGAACTTGTGGAGCACAGATTAGAAGGGCAATGAACAGAACTTGTCTGATATCACTCCACTTTGGGAGCACTGAAAACCTGCAGGCCTCCAACTGGAATTGTGAAAGCAGCAGAAGGATGAAAGAAGACAGAAGTTCAGGCCAGACAGCACCTGTACTCCCTGCCAAAGTGCACAAAGCCCAGACTTAATATTGAGTTCAAAGTCAGGAAAGCAGCAGGAAGAATGAGCAAATGACAGATTTGCTTCTATGATGTTGGGGAAGCTCAAGACACAAACTCAGAAGAAGACAATGACTTGAGAACATCGACAAGCAAAGCCGCAAGGAAAAAAATGCAGCTGGGACACAAGTCTAACAAGAATTCCTACAAGAGTATTTTTTTTAAAGCAAAAGAGATTTGTAAAATCAAATGAGTGCTGTGGAAGAAAGATGAGAAAAGAGAATTAAAGAGGTCCAAGAAAAGAGAATTGAAAAAAGATGTCCAAAACCTTACTGAAAACAATAACTCTTTGAAAATCAGAATTGGCCAAATGGAAACTCATTAGTGACGCTATGAGATATCAAGAAATAATAAAACAAAGTAAAAAATCTGAAAAAATAGAAAAAAAATGTGAAACATCTCATAGGAAGAACAATTGACCTAGAAAGTAGATTGAAGAGAGATAATTTAAGAATCTTTAGACTGTTTGGAAGCCATGAACAAAAAAAGAGCCTAGACATCATATTTCAAGGAATCATAAAAAGAAACTGCTCAGATCTCTTAGTACCAGAGGACAAAATAGAAATTGAAAGAATCTACCAGGTACTCTCTGAAAGAAACTCCAAAATGAAAACTCCCAGGAATCTTATAGCCCAAATCCAGAGCTCCCAAGTTCAGGAGAAAAAGCAGCCAGAAAGAGAGAATCCAAGTATCAAGGAGCCACAGTCAGGATCACAAAAGATTTAATAGCCACTGCATTAAAGGAATGGAGAGCTTGGAATATGATATTCCAGAAGGCAAAAGATCTAGGCTTATAGCCAAGAATAAACCTACCCAGTAAAACTACAGGGGTGGGAAGGGGGAGGAGGTGGGAATGAACCTGTAATGAAATAACGGACTGCCAAGCATTTCTGATAAAAAAAAAAAACCAGAGCTGAAGTGAAAAATTGAAATAGAAAACAAAGTACTCAAGAGACGTATAAGAATTAAACATGAGAGAAATTATAAGGGATGGGGCAGCTAGGTGGTGCAGTGGATAGAGCACCTGAGTTCAAATCCATCCTCAGACACATAACACTCACTAGCTGTGTGACTCTGGGCAAATCACTTAATCCCAATTGTCTCACACACAAAAAAGAAATTATAAGGGATGAAACAAGATTAAAGTGTTTCCATTCTTATGTGGGTAGATGAGACATGTATGAGACATTGATTCATTGAGACAGTGATTCATTGATATGTATTGCTGCCAATCATACTTATCAACATGCAGAGACATTTTAAAATCAGGTTTTATTATGCTTAGAGCAAAGGCTCATGATTCTAAATTACCTCTGCGCATTAGACAAAGTTCTGGTAAAGCTTATTTAGTTACCAGTTACATCAGAGGGAAAAAAATACAGTTGCCAAAAAGAAAAGGTAAAAATTTACATTTCCAAGATACACTTGTAAACTTCATGGCAGACAAATGGACAGGAAGGAGGCTTATATGTCAGATGATAATCAGAGAAAAATTCTGTTAGATCTAGTTGTACATTGATCATCAAACATAGCCAGGAATTAGTATACCAAAGGGTTATCTCAAAATGAAGCCATTATAATGAAGTCTCAGCTAAATTCTAAAGCCTCAGCTGGCTACATGATTTTCCCTACAGATGAAATAACTGTTCTGGAGCCAAATAGAAAAGGAATTTTAAAACTTTTAAGACATTCCCTCCTCTTGGTCATAGAGGGAAATGGAAATAAAATGCCTCTCTGTGACCATATTCTTATACATCCAGTCAATCAATCACCTCTCTGAATGCCTCAATATCAATTTTATGATAAGCATTTCTATAGGCAGATACAAGTATTGGGCAGTATTGAATACAACAGCAAAACAGAAGCAACAGATATTGGCATTATGCTGTAGTTTCCTTAGTTCAA